ACCAGATCAGGATAAATACTATAAATAAGAATCAAAGGAACTGACAACAAATATTAAGGAAAGAGACATTAATATAATAACTAATTAATGAAAAGCTTGTAAGATCAAGAAATTTACGCAAAGAAGTTGCCAGTGGAATATAAAAATCCGAAAAAAGGATTTATAAGTTCTTCACTACTGTAGAAGGCTTGGACAGCGTTATAAAACTCCTGCTGGAGTTCTACAAAGTCAACATGAAGCACAGAAGGTTGATTATCGAGACAGAAGGCGACGTCTTGGTATCAGATATCATCAAGCAGCATAGGTGTCCAAGCCCCCAACTGATTTAATACATTTGAAATTCTTAAAGTAGTTTTAAAAATCACAAGAAATAATATTATATTTACACATTTAATAGGTCATTATAACTGAAATCTTCTTGAGACTTGAACTTAGTGGCTACTGTAACACATCAGGCATTTAAAAAAAGAAGAATTGTTTTATGCATTATTTATTTATTTATATTTTTATTTGCTTTATTTATTTATATTTTATTTGCTTTATTTATTTATATTTTTATTTGCTTCAAAATTGTATAACATATTTTTTTTTCTTCAGAATGATAATATTTTATCATTTTACTCTCACAATTGAAACATTGATGCTGTCCCACTGAGGTCATTTCCACTTCTCAAATCATTCGGCTTGAAATAAATTAGTACAGTCATAAATTACCGAGATCAAGACAGTTAAAGCTAAGTTACGTGGTTGATAGTGAAGTAAAGGAACCATCTTCAAATTTCCTACTGTTAGAGATTCAGATTCAGAATAAGACGAATTACCTGCATCAGACTCAGAAGCGGATTGTTTCTTAACCGTCAATGATTCTGAACCTACTAAACCTAAGTCATTGGATGCTATGTTAGACTCTAAAGCAGAAGCCGCCCCCCCCCCCCCAGTGGCACAGTTGTATGTCTGCTATAAGCCAGGTTTCGATACCCGTGGTGGGCAAAAGCACAGATAGCCTATTGTGCAGCTTTGTGCTTAACTTTAAACAAACACTAAAGCAGAAGCGACCTCTGCATCAACTGTATGAGTTTACGAGCCATACTTTTCAACTGCAATACGAGGAATTGCACTGGATTTGAAAAATGAACATAAATAAACCCATTTATGCTTTGACATACTTTCATCCATGTTCAGGCTCAGTTTTAGGATTCAATTATCCACTTAAGTTAACTTCAAAATGATGATTTAAAATTTATTATTCAATTGAAGTTGTCAAGTTGTAAGTCGAATGAATTAACTAGCCACATACACTGTAATTCAGTTTTGTGAAAACTGGAATATGATTGGGCGACTTGGCTGAATAAATATCTGAGTTAATGAACATATATATATATATATATATACACATACACATATATATATATATATGTATATATATACATACATATAAATATATATGTTATTAGTTTAGAAAAAAGAGGGAAGATTAAACCATAACTTTGATCCGTACTAATAAAAATTGGGG